TGGAGTCCAGTGTGAATTTGGTAGCTGAGAGGAGAAAAAAAACCTTGTGATAACAGCAGAGTAAAGACAGAAAGAAATGAGAAATTCCACACAGTTAAAAAAAAAAAAGACTGGACTGGAACCGTATTCCTGTTTAAACAAGACACTATTTATTGTTTTTGTGTTTAATGTTTTCATGGTATTACTTTTTTTACCTTAACTTTTTGAGAAGAGTTAAAAGTGAATAAAAATATAAATTTAAAAATTGTAGCAAATAACTTACCAATTATGCATCATTAATTGTGAATTAATTTAATAATTATGATTACTAAAATGTCTGTGGTAAACACCTCAAAAAGTACTGTGACCCCAGCATCATTGATTTTACCGTAGAGAATAAGTGTAATTTAAAATAGAATTATATATAATTTATATAAACATAAAAAGAAAAAAGCTGACTTCACATAAAAAAACTAAAACTGTCGACACTATAAGATTTATAACAACATTAATAGGGGTCGATGAATTGCATCAGAACAGTGATGTAAAGAGGAGGAAACGACTCACCGTCCCGTCATGAGTTGACTTCGAGAGGGCGAGCAGATGGGCTGCACGTAGTAGTTTTCCAGTTTGACGCCCTCTGCTGCCAGACGGTCCAACACAGGAGTGTGGACGTCTGAGCCGTGGTAACCAACGTCTCCGTAGCCCTGGTCGTCCACCATGATGAAGATCAGGTGAGGAGGCCCTGGTCCTTTCACCTCCTCTGTGTCGTTTGGAGACGATGCACCGCCCAAACATCTAAGACGACCGAGGAGAGTCGACCAGAAGATGTAGACAATCACTGAGCGGATTTGGACTTTCATTTCAACATGAGTTCTGGTCTGAGTTGTTCAGCGGTTTGAAAGAGTAGAGCTTTTCGACGGAGCCGATGGACATTGGACGGAAAACGATGGGAAACAACTTGGCAGTGCATGAGTTTGTGTGTGTTTAAGGGAAGATCCTGTCTTTTACATCACTCTGCCACATTCCTTCATACACGAAGGTGCCTCCTGCTGTGGTTGAGGAGAGCAGGGCAGAAATGTAACACACACTCTATATCGATATGGAGGCAGTGCTGAGACGGTTTATATTTATTCTGAATTTACAGAAATCTGCTATTAAACGCTGGGGGTCTCATCAACTGGTTTCAAGTTTCCTTGAGGGACTGTGAGGTTTCAAATCTCAGTGTACGTATGCTGATGTCATTCAAAGGAAAAAAGAACCATAAAGCATTATGGGAGTTGAGACATATGAGAGGCCAACACATATAAGATATTGTTGGCCTCTCACTGCCCCCCCATCCCCGTCCCCTGATGGGTTGGTCGGTGATGGTTGTTGATGTTTTCTTCTGCTCATCCTAATTACCTTCTGCCTGCAGCGTTTGCTAACGATTACCTCTTCAACAGGAGGGAGAGAGGTGAACTATCATGTGAGTAATAATTCACTGAGTTTGATTTAGAAGTCGTCTACACACTGACAGGAGTCGGCCACTAACGGCCCATAATTCATTGCAACAAGTGAGCCAAGTGGCCAATTTAGCAATGTGTGATGTTTATTGGATGCAACTTTGATACTTACTTTACATTAAAGCATTATCTGTGCCCACTGTTGCTCCTTCTCTTCCATTACTGCTGCTCCGTCTGTCAGTCTGCCACTCCGACTAAAGTGCTTTTATGACCACTACAGAACATATCCTGCTGCAATTTCCTGCACTGCATTATTCAAAAGCCTACTGTAAATCCCTGATAAAAAATCACTTATTCCTCAGAATCAGTCTTACCTCGCTTGATAACTACCCAATTAATAGAGACACCCCATGACAATCGGCGCCGGCACTGTTGCAGCAGAGCCGATCGGAGTACAGAGCAGCATCCGGTGTTTGTGATGAGAATCTGTATCGACCACCGGGCCTCTTAGCCCTCGAACGCTGCTGCCGCCTCCTTCCCATAATGCTGAGAGAAAAATCGATGCCCGAGACACAAGTCCATTTCCTCGCGTTGTAGAAGGAAAGCCGTGTAGCCCTGCCCCTGTGGGAAATTTGGCAGGCCTTTTGGCCTAAAGTAAAAGTGAAGAACATGTTGCTGAGATGGAGATCTGAGGCAGAGCGAGGTGAGGCCTGGGGGCGAGAGACTGGGCAGGGGTTTTAGAAGATTAGGACAAAAAGTGATGTACAGTAGGTGACATTTAACATAACGTTGAAGACAGAGGACTGAGAACGAACGATTAGTAAAGACCGACACAGGAAGTGGTGAAGTGCGCAAGGGAGACAGAGAAGTGTCGCCATCTGAGCTGAGGAAGAGCAACATAAACAAAGTGGCATAAAAGAGAAGTCACTGTCAACGTGTGTGTAAGAGCTATACTTGAGGAGAAATATTTCTTATTCTATTGTTGTGGGGACATTCTGCAGATTCACACTGAGTGAGAGTGTATTTTGAGTTTCTAGATTAAGTTTGGATTTAGCTTTAGAAACAGGGTGAGGTTAGAGTTTGGGTTAGGATTAGGATTAGGCATATATATGCAATATCTGAGGGCAGACTGAAGGGGTTAACCTTTTTTTCATCAAGCAACATTCACCATGATCATGTCAACTACTGAAATGATGGTATTAGTGTAGAGTTGTTGTCTCATCTGTGATGAAGACTGGACTGGAACCGTATTCCTGTTTAAACAAGACACTATTTATTGTTTTTGTGTTTAATGTTTTCATGGTATTACTTTTTTTACCTTATTGTTTTTGTGTTTATTGTTTTCATGGTATTACTTTTTTTACCTTAACTTTTTCAGAAGAGTTAAAAGTGAATAAAAAAATAAATTTAAAAATTGTAGCAAATAACTTACCAATTATGCATCATTAATTGTGAATTAATTTAATAATTATGATTACTAAAATGTCTGTGGTAAACACCTCAAAAAGTACTGTGACCCCAGCATCATTGATTTTACCGTAGAGAATAAGTGTAATTTAAAATAGAATTATATATAATTTATATAAACATAAAAAGAAAAAAGCTGACTTCACATAAAAAAACTAAAACTGTCGACACTATAAGATTTATAACAACATTAATAGGGGTCGATGAATTGCATCAGAACAGTGATGTAAAGAGGAGGAAACGACTCACCGTCCCGTCATGAGTTGACTTCGAGAGGGCGAGCAGATGGGCTGCACGTAGTAGTTTTCCAGTTTGACGCCCTCTGCTGCCAGACGGTCCAACACAGGAGTGTGGACGTCTGAGCCGTGGTAACCAACGTCTCCGTAGCCCTGGTCGTCCACCATGATGAAGATCAGGTGAGGAGGCCCTGGTCCTTTCACCTCCTCTGTGTTGTTTGGAGACGATGCACCACCCAAACATCCAAGACGACTGAGGAGAATCGACCAGAAGATGTAGACAATCACTGAGCGGATTTGGACTTTCATTTCAACATGAGTTCTGGTCTGAGTTGTTCAGCGGTTTGAAAGAGTAGAGCTTTTCGACGGAGCCGATGGACATTGGACGGAAAACGATGGGAAACAACTTGGCAGTGCATGAGTTTGTGTGTGTTTAAGGGAAGATCCTGTCTTTTACATCACTCTGCCACATTCCTTCATACACGAAGGTGCCTCCTGCTGTGGTTGAGGAGAGCAGGGCAGAAATGTAACACACACTCTATATCGATATGGAGGCAGTGCTGAGACGGTTTATATTTATTCTGAATTTACAGAAATCTGCTATTAAACGCTGGGGGTCTCATCAACTGGTTTCAAGTTTCCTTGAGGGACTGTGAGGTTTCAAATCTCAGTGTACGTATGCTGATGTCATTCAAAGGAAAAAAGAACCATAAAGCATTATGGGAGTTGAGACATATGAGAGGCCAACACATATAAGATGTTGTTGACCTCTCACTGCCCCCCCATCCCCGTCCCCTGATGGGTTGGTCGGTGATGGTTGTTGATGTTTTCTTCTGCTCATCCTAATTACCTTCTGCCTGCAGCGTTTGCTAACGATTACCTCTTCAACAGGAGGGAGAGAGGTGAACTATCATGTGAGTAATAATTCACTGAGTTTGATTTAGAAGTCGTCTACACACTGACAACAGGAGTCGGCCACTAACGGCCCATAATTCATTGCAACAAGTGAGCCAAGTGGCCAATTTAGCAATGTGTGATGTTTATTGGATGCAACTTTGATACTTACTTTACATTAAAGCATTATCTGTGCCCACTGTTGCTCCTTCTCTTCCATTACAGCTGCTCCGTCTGTCAGTCTGCCACTCCGACTAAAGTGCTTTTATGACCACTACAGAACATATCCTGCTGCAATTTCCTGCACTGCATTATTCAAAAGCCTACTGTAAATCCCTGATAAAAAATCACTTATTCCTCAGAATCAGTCTTACCTCGCTTGATAACTACCCAATTAATAGAGACACCCCATGACAATCGGCGCCGGCACTGTTGCAGCAGAGCCGATCGGAGTACAGAGCAGCATCCGGTGTTTGTGATGAGAATCTGTATCGACCACCGGGCCTCTTAGCCCTCGAACGCTGCTGCCGCCTCCTTCCCATAATGCTGAGAGAAAAATCGATGCCCGAGACACAAGTCCATTTCCTCGCGTTGTAGAAGGAAAGCCGTGTAGCCCTGCCCCTGTGGGAAATTTGGCAGGCTTTTTGGCCTAAAGTAAAAGTGAAGAACATGTTGCTGAGATGGAGATCTGAGGCAGAGCGAGGTGAGGCCTGGGGGCGAGAGACTGGGCAGGGGTTTTAGAAGATTAGGACAAAAAGTGATGTACAGTAGGTGACATTTAACATAACGTTGAAGACAGAGGACTGAGAACGAACGATTAGTAAAGACCGACACAGGAAGTGGTGAAGTGCGCAAGGGAGACAGAGAAGTGTCGCCATCTGAGCTGAGGAAGAGCAACATAAACAAAGTGGCATAAAAGAGAAGTCACTGTCAACGTGTGTGTAAGAGCTATACTTGAGGAGAAATATTTCTTATTCTATTGTTGTGGGGACATTCTGCAGATTCACACTGAGTGAGAGTGTATTTTGAGTTTCTAGATTAAGTTTGGATTTAGCTTTAGAAACAGGGTGAGGTTAGAGTTTGGGTTAGGATTAGGATTAGGCATATATATGCAATTGCTGAGGGCAGACTGAAGGGGTTAACCTTTTTTTCATCAAGCAACATTCACCATGATCATGTCAACTACTGAAATGATGGTATTAGTGTAGAGTTGTTGTCTCATCTGTGATGACATGTTCACATATGAAGTGAGATCTTTAACCTGCTCTTATATTTACATTGATATAAAAGTCCCTGCAGTTTCTCCAAAGTTGAACAAATAAATACATTTGCCTTGCCGTGTCCCCGCCCCTGCAACAGCTCCTCATTTTGAGAACCACTGGTGTCAAATGTCACCTGATGTTGTGACCCTGCTGCACAAAGGGAAGTGAGACCAGCTCAGCAAACAGGGACGGCAGCCAATATTTACTTTTACCTGTTGTATAGTATTTCCAGGCAGATGGTGTGCAGGGTTTGTGTGTGTGTGTTTGTGTGTGTGTGTGTGTGAGACTCACCGATGACAGCCCACTGAGGTTATGACGGACCACCTGGCTCCGGCTCACTACGCTGTCATGAAGAAGATGACACAGCACTCATCTCCCAGAACGGCAGGAATCCTGGGAGACGAGCAGCGCAGTCTGTCACCGTCCAGGTTCAGAAGTTCATCGTGTGTATGGGACAAAAGCTGAGGGTACACAGAGCATTAGTCTGTCAGGAGTGAGCGAGATTCATTTGTGAGAAGACAGACATTACAGATCAGTTTGACTGGACAATTGGGAAAAATGCCTAAACTAATTTTCATATGGAAAAAAATATGGATTTATATAAAAATGTATAAATTGGGAAAAATGCCTAAACATGCCTAATTTTCATATAGATAAAAATATGGATTTATATAAAAATGTATTTTCACGAGCAAGATAAAAATAGGTCTGGTTTTAAAATACTTAAATGTCACAGTTATCTCCCTGGTTAGATGTGTTGGGGGGTTAGGAGGGGGGAGTCAACCTTTTAACTTGACATTTAAAAAAAAAAATGCAAGACTTCGGGGTCATATCAGATGTGTTTCCCACGGGGGTAAAATGTCAAGTACACCGTGTTCTTTAGGAGGAAAAAAAAATTTAGCATTTAGCTGGAGAAAGCACTGACACTCAGAGACTTAGACATGTGATCTGGCTGTAAGGCAAGAGCACATACCACGACACCACCGTTTGTGTCTTAAACAATGAGATCTACATAGAGTTTCAACAACGTTCTACCTTATTACCACTAGATGGCACAGTTGCTACGGATGATCTACACTCATCAGCTTTACGTCTGGAAATCTTCACTATGTAACGGATCGTTATAACGTGTGGTTTATTTAGACCCAGAAGTGTCTCCTGGGAAGAAGGAGAGAACTATTTTTCAGACATGTGCTGAACTAGTTCTCATCAAGTCTTCTTTCAAGAGCCTACAAAATAAATGAATAAAATATAAATTGAATATTACGCACGTTCTCTGCGCATTAATATTTATAAGGTGAGCGTTATCTATATGTCTGACATGATTGAAGACACCGTGTGTCAGTGCTCACTCCGCACCGCATTCCAGCACAGACGTTTCCATTCCTTAGGTCAAGCTGAGGAGATAACTACAGAGTGAGGTGATGGTTTTAAAATAATCTATTAAAAGAGCTACGTTAACTACATAAGTTCAAAATTAAATGAAGACAGACACACAGCATATAGAACAGATTTAGTTACATGTAGTTCAGTCAGCCAAGAAAAGGTAATAGTTATATAGTTCAGCCTATACTGTATGCAGATTTTTTTTTAAATGGTTCATAAAGTATAGTTAAAACATATATTAGAAAATGCGTGGTTCAAAAACTATAGTTAAAACATATATTAGAAAATGCAAAAAAAGATTGAGTTCAGTAGTAGAAAAACTAAAGTAAATGTGGGCCAAAATTAGCTTAAACCATTAGCAAAGAAAGAGGTAACCAAAGTGTCTTTGGTGTTAACCAACAATAGTTTCCAGTTAACAATGTTAAAGTGAGCCGAGACATTAAACTAGCAGTAGTTATCGACACATTGTGCTAGGATTAAGTTAGGTAACGGAGTTGATTTATGAACACCTAAAAAAAAAAAAATCAATAAAATAAATTTTAAAAAAAAACGGCAAAAAATTATGAACGTAAAGTTAGCATGAACTAGCAAAAAAAAAAAAAGGGGCCAAAAATTATGAGCGTAAAGTTAGCATGAACTAGTTGGGCAAAGGACAGTAACACTGAGGAAAAGGGTTCTGGGCCGTATGATCTCTACTAAAGTGACACGACTGAGATCATCATCATAAACTGCACTGACCACTCAGGTCAGCTCATCGACCTGGGAGTGAAGATGTAACTCCACTGACCAGATCTTACATCTCAGTTCTGAGAAGATCAACAGAGACGTGTGACATTTGAAGGTTCTGTGCAGATTCAGGCAGAGCCGAGGCAGCGGGAGCAGGAACAGTCGTAGTCCTGATGGTGGATGGAGGTTCAGACCTATTTTTGGAGGAGCTATCAACCCAGTGGCACAGGTCTGAGTGACAGGACAAGTGTTAGGTCGGATCCTCCCCTCGCTCGTTTGGGGGCAGACATTCCTCCGTGTAAGCAGACACAGACCCTGTGCCATCATATTTCTCTCCTTGGCCAGGATGGCTGGGAGTGTGTGTGTGTGTGTGTGTGAGTGCGTGTGCTGATGAATGTGTGTTTGAGAGAGAGAGAGTGGGTGTGTTCAGGTGTGAGCGTCGGCCTTGGAGCTGAACTCAGAGAAAGAGAGAGAGAGGAGTCAGCACCCGGACAGTGTGGCAGGCAAAGAGCAGGTCAGAGCTCTGTGAGGGGGGCCCTGAACTGCTAACCATGGGGCCAAGGCACTGAAAGGGCCCCCAACAATTCAAATAATAATTACAAAGAAAATCGAGAAGTGACGTGAACTGAAGGCAAGAAGAACAAGGAGAAGACAAACTAAAACCAAAGCCAAAAAAGGAAAAAAAAAAAGAAGAAGAAAAATGGTTGCGGAGGAAGTGATCATTGCCTTATCGGGTGGAGCGCCGTGGGGGTTTCGTCTGCAGGGAGGTGTGGAGCATCAGAAACCGCTCCAGGTGGCAAAGGTAGGGTTGGTCACAGAAATGGTCAATTCATTGGTTAAAAGTAAGGAGCGTTGAGATTGAGCAACAGTGAAACATCAGCCGAGATATACTAGTCGGAGATTTAAGGAGCTGTGAAGAAGGTTGAAATGGAATTTTGGCCGCAGTGATGCTTGGTCCGTGGCCTGAATGTGAGTCATGGTCCTGTTTGAGCGACAGTCTTGGTGCAGAACCACGCCAATGATGGATTGCCAAGTTGAACTTTAAACTTTAAGTTCAGCAGCTGTAGGTTTGCTAATTATTGCTGCTCATCCGATTAAAGTGCACGAAGCCAAACTCGTATATGGACTTGATTTGGGGGGACAGAGAAACCCGACTTGACGGATGACTATCTGACACCTCCGGACACCTCAGCAGTTAAATGTGGAAACTGTGTGTGTGCGTCTGAACTGCACAGGGTTTATGTGGACTCTTCACACCATTCACCCGATGCCATTGATCGGTTCTGTGCTACTGAACGAGGATGTTTCCACTGCGTCATCACCTTTGTAAGAATTTCAGATTGCGGCAGCTATGATTGTTCAGGTTTAAGCTGCTGGGTTATCAGGGATTATCTGAGACCACACTGGTCTGCATTCCATTGTTCAAGTCACTGTGGTTGAATTCATGTAAAATTCTACAAATAACACTGGTTTCTGCATAACAGTCATTTCACGTGATATTTTCATTTGACTGAAACAGATTATGAATGTATGTATAGCAATATTTGTACTTCTTTTGAGCCTGAATTCACAAAAAACATTTTGTCAAAAGCAGCTTTTAAAAAAAAAAAAGGTGCCTTTAACTACAGAGGATTAGTATTACAAGAAAGACAGGAAAAATGTGCAACAACGCTTGAGTATGTCGATCCATGAGTAAAATTTGCAAATGATTAATTGTCCTGAATGGATGAATGTATGTTTTACAAATCAAAATTTGGGTAGAGGCCAACTGCTAATCACGTGTAACCCACATACAGACCACAAAGTTAGCTTAACACCAGTGAAGGACTGACCAAACATTGGACTGGATAAAAGACTAAACTGCTGATTAAAAAACTGGTATAAATAAAAGTAAAACAATTTTTAAAAAGCTGCTATTTTTGGTCTTTGACACATTTAATCCAAGGATGCCTAGCCAAATGTAAAAAAAAAGTTTTGTGCTATTTTTCCTTCCTCATAAAAGTTTATACAGAGATCTTATTTCAGGAAAAGGTGGATCTGATTTTAACACTCTAGTTTTATATACATCCTGTCACATTTCTGTCACAGAAAATGTTGACTGGACTGAATTTTCTCAGTGTAACGAAGGGTCAAGACTGAACCAAGCCGTCTGACGCATTTTTGTACAGAGGATGCAGATTTTTGCTATTTAAAAACAGGATGGAAAAGGAAGAAAGAAGCAGCTTCAGTTAAACAATAGAAATATACTGGATTTTTTTAAAAGTTAAAATATAAAAAAATTCATTATTGTCTTTCGTTAACCTTTGAATATCCTTTGGGTTAATATATTGGTCCTGTTTAAATTTAGCTCCTTGATGGATTGTGGATGGTGGAATTCCCAGGAAACCTTCCATTATTTTTAGACAAAATGCGCGATTTCTCAGCTAGTCTTTGGTTACCTGTAGTTTACATTTAGGATGTTCATTGGACATTATTTTTGGCTCATTAAAGCTGTGTTAGCTAACAAATACTGGCAGCTAATTGGGCGTAGTTCAACCTTTTGGAAAACAGAAATAGTAAGTAGAGAAAGTAAAGATTTTTCTACATTTATGAGTCATCTGTAACTAATTTTTAGAATTTTTGGGAGGGCTATTTTTATGCTGTATTGTATTTACACCAACCTTTTTAAATAATTTATTCCTTAATTGTTGAGTAATATCTATTGGTAGATTAAACCTAAGTTGCCTTAAACCTTTTTTTATTCTTCAAATTTAGTTTATTGAGTCTTTCATCGTAAAGTTAATGTCACATGGTACTTTACATGTTAACTGCATGCATTCAACTGAAAAGTCGGTCACTGGACACCGATCACCTTCATGTCGATGAACAGCTGTTTCTGCCTGACGTGCTCCTTCACCCAGCACGAAGATGTAACTATGTCTGGTCTCATACTACACCGGGTCCAACAGGTGGCGAGCAGAGCAATGCTCAGCTGAGTGTGTGTGTGTGTGTGTGTGTGTGTGTGTATACATGTGAACAGGTTTATTTATAAAATTGTATGTGTTTTTTGTGTCAGTCTTTCGCTGCCTGTGTTGTGGATGCCAACGTGCGAGGGCTTTGTTATTGTTGCTGTTATGACTGAGAACCACAAGGTGAAAAATTGAGAGCTGATATCTTTTACCACCAATGAGATACAGGTCGCTTTCAAAGGCTAAGCTAAATAAGGCAGTGGTATTAATTACAGGCTACAGTCAAAGTAGCCTGGAATAAAAGTAATTAGACTAATGCTACACAACACCTCCAAAATCCTAAAGATATGTGTTAAGTCCACGAGTCCCTGTACAGAGAAATCAACACCACGGGTGTTGCGCTGACCTTTTTCAACATCTGACATGACTAACATAGTGTGGACTTTAGGGAAATATGGGGGCACAGGCACAATACTACGGATCTGACAGACCTCTGGCATAAATGAAGATGGCTGCTGGCTGACATTTTCCTGCTCAAGTGTGCACGAGTGCCCCACTTGAGCTGCAATATGTGGCATATGTCTGCAGCAACACGGAGCTGTCAGAACAGAACATTCACTACAAGTCACTATCACACAGGTTTCCATCCAAAGAGAAAAACATCGAGTTCTCCTACATATCTAATCAGAGCTGAAGAATCAACTTGGATGTAACTGAACTTTGGACTTAACATAAATAGAGCTCAATAATTTCAATAGGACTTGAGTTAAAAACAAAAACAAATAACAGCACCTAATGTCAGAGACCAATCCTGCACTCAAGGCTGTAATACAATCAAGAAACTCAAGGAACTCAAGTTGCACAGCGCAATGTTAAAAAAATAAATGTATGCTTTATACATATATATTGTTTATAACTGATTGTCTTACTATTTAAGTCCTATCTAAGTACAGTCAGTATTAGTTTTGGTTCCTGCTGTACAGAGGTGCCTTGTTTGACAGTTCCTGAGTTTTTAAATTGTACCCATGGACACATTGGCCTCAGGATCTGAAGAATCCACACATACTGTGTTTGGACATGTATTTAAAAAACTGTAGCTGCTTAAACCTAAAATTTGTGGAACACTGTGTTGTGTTTACTGCCTGTTTCAAAAGTTTGTCTTCCTTTCTCTAGGTGCGTAAACGCAGCAAAGCATGCAGGGCCGGACTGCAGGAGGGAGATGAGCTCATGTTCATCAATGAAGAGCCATGTGGAACACTTTCCCACGCCCAGGCCATGAACCTTATCGATGGCTCTACTGGAATCTTGCACATCCGAGTCAAAAGGTGAGTCAAACAAAGGATGGCCAAAGTATCTTTTTCAAGACCAATCGAGAAAAAAAACAAACATCTAATATCATGTAATATATTATCAATTTACAACACTCCTTCTGTTTGTAGGGTGTAATATATTATCGATTTACAACACTCCTTCTGTTTGTAGGGCACCTCCAGGTTTTCAGTCAGTGGTCCTTGTGACCCGTGCTCCCTCTCCCCGTATAGACAAAGAGTACCGTGCTGCTATGCTTGCCGTATCTCCCAACCAGCCTCATCATGCACCTGTCCGTGAAGTCCACCGTAGTCGCTCCTCCCTGACCAGTGGCCTGACATCTCCACCTGGTAGTGAGGCCTATTACGGTGAAACAGACAGTGATGCAGATGTGGCAGGTTACGAGAGGCAGCGCAGGCAGAAACGCCGCAGTCCCAGCAACTCCACCCCCGGAAAACCAACGGGACGAACCTCCCCTGAAGGTGGGGAGACCTCAGAGATGAGTGGCTATGACAGTGCACCAGATGCACAGATCTACTCAACTTTGTTGGATACCCGGGTAGATGGAAATGGAGGAGGTCTTCCAGGAGTGGCAAGACGGGAGGTGATTTATCAGCCTCCTGCTCCAGGAATGTGGTCCTCCCAGACATCCACAGAGACGTCCTCTATCATCTCCTCAGCAGATGACCAGGGGCCAAGAGATGGAGGGCAAGAAGAGGACAGCAGTTTTCTGGAGCTGGCCAACGTGCCTTTGGTGTCCCCTGAGAGGGCAAAGGAGGCTCTGATGCTGGGCTCCCGAAGTCAGCTAATACCCATGGTGGGTCCTGTGGGTAAACCCATTGACGATGAGCTTACAACAACATATATGGAAAAGGCCAAGCAAGCAAGTAAGTACAGATCAGGGGCAATAAGTATGGTCAGGTTTTCAACATGGGTCTTTACACCTATGTACAAAGTCAAACCAATGCAACATTTATGAATAATTGCAAAAGCTTGTCAAAGTAGAAAAAATAGTTTTTTACTAACAATAGTTACAGCTGGTACTCAAATTTGAAAAATGATTAGATAGATTTTGTGCCAGTATATATTTGAAATAAGTAAGAATTTAACAATAAGCAACAAATAAGGTAATTGGCCAGATGATATTGTAGTAACAAGTAAGTTAGTTAGTTAAATTGGGTGATGAAAAAAATCTAGCCAAGTTCAAAAATAGGTAGCCATCATTAGCTAACTTAAATGTTGCTTCTTGATATTAAATCTCTACACACTGATTTAAACAAATCATACATTTTATTAAGTAGTCTATTGGGAGAAGGTGTCAGTCTAAGCTTAGTTTGTTCAACGACGTGGTCAGTAAAGTTTACTATATTTACCCACAGTTATGTGTTTTAAAACCCCAGTCATCAATCTGAGAGCCCTGAAAAGCATCCACAGCTGCTTTTAGGTGTCAAGTGACAAAGTGGGGATACTCCTGTTCACCCTGCCCTTCTATCCCAGTCTGTTCATTCTAGCTGCTACTCTCGACATACTGTTAAAGGAGTTTAATAAAGCCAATCCCAAAGTTTGTTTTGCAGCATTTATTCTCACATGGTTTCACTAATTCTTTATTTATATATACTCTATATTCAGTTAGTAACCCTTGAGATGGGCTGAAGACAAACCAATAAGTCGAGAAAATTGGCAAACCTATCATCTAAAGCTCATGTTCATGTGCAAAACCAAAAGCCACTTCTTTCAATAACAAAACAGGTTGGAATTGTGATTAATACATAACACTAAATTTGCCCTATGACCTTTGCCATCCAAGGCGGACAAACCTCTAAATTGTCAGAGTAGCCAAGCTATTTGAAGTCCTATGTTGTTTTAGGAACTTGAAATAATTTTACTCTCGTAAATCCCTCTGCCATCATCAAGAACTGTTTAAATAGTCCAACCCACTAAGGAGTCCTGTCATGAACAAAAAAAGAACAATCTATAACAGGCACCGGACTTTTTCCCTATCTTCTTCTTTTCCTTTCTTGCTTTGTCCCTTTTTTCAGGGGTTGCCACAGCGAATCATTATATATAGTACCTTACCTCAAATAATGTGAGAAGCTAAAGAATTGCCAGTACTCTAAATTACCTTGTGAATTTTTAATATGCCAACCAAACACAACCTAACAGCTCCGACTTTTATACCTTGCAGAACTAAATCGAGGAGACACACAGCAGGATAAACAAGTCAAGGAAGCCCGAAGCAAATGTCGAAAAATTGCATCTCTGTTGACAGATGCTCCAAACCCTCACTCCAAAGGTGTGCTGATGTTCAAGAAGAGACGGCAGCGATCTAAAAAGTACACCCTTACCAGCTTCGGTAGTGTGGATGAGGGCTCACAGTGTCAGGACTCGCAGGAAGAGGATGGTGTATTCCCTGGTAGTGAATCGGAGATTGATGAAGATAACTTTTCAGCAGCTCCTGACCCAACTTGGGACAGTGACTACTTGGATATGTTGGAGAAGAGGGCAACTGCAGGCACCGAAGGCCGTGGGGATGGAGCAGAAGATGCTCCAAGTCCAGGATTAAGTGACACAGCAGGCAAAGGGGCACAATTGTTTGAGCAGCAAAGGAAGCGAGCTGCTGAGCTCACAAAGAAATTGGAGGCTGCACAGCCTCACATTCCTCAACATGTTCAAGAGCAGGCTCAGATGATTCACCCAGAGGTACCGCAGCAGAATCAACCACTAGTCCCACATCAGCAGATGATATCAGCTGGTCCTGCATCCACACAACAAGAACTCTCTCAGCCTCCTGGTCAAGTTAATGTTGATACCTTTGGGGTTTCTAATGGGGGCCTACCATACTCTTCAGTTAGTCATGCTAGTATTGTTATGTCATCTTCACCTGTGGCTTCGAAATCTGCTACTGCCTCAGTGACCATTTTGACTAGTCCTTCGCCACCATGTGAAACACCATTACCAGACTTGCCTGCTAGTAATGTTCTTAATAGGACAGCTCGTCCTTTCACACCTGGCTTCATTAGCATCCGAGCTGCAACTGCTCCTGTGCAATTTAGACCACCTGTCACAAAGACCACCCAACGTACAGCATCAGCCTTTGCTATGCAACCTCCGTTCTCTACTGCCACTGAACTGGCCTTTAATGCTACCAATGTAATTTCACAACTACCACAACGTCCTTTGTCAATGAGCTTTTCACCATCCTGTGTTCCTCAGGGTCTCCCACCTCAGGCACCAGTAGCTGGAGTTACCTATCATCCTGCAGCCATCTCTACACCTGCAGAAACAATGCATTCAACCACTGTTCATCAGGCTCGGTTTGCAACTGCGCCTGCAGTGATAGTACCGTCCGTACCCCAACCTCCACAACCATTAATGGCTCCAGTGCCCATTCCTCCTGTAACCCTGACACCAAGTGCACCTGAACATGTTGCTGCAATGCCCCCACCACCTGTTGCTCAGCCACTTCCACCTAAGTTTTCCACACCTACAATTCAAATGGCAGCAGTCACCCAACCAGAAGTTGTATCTCCAACCCCTGTTTCTGGTCCATTTGGTCGCACAGGAATTTTAATTGATGCTCGACGGCGTAGTGGAAAAGTGAAACCTATGTTCAATGTGCCAGAAGTAAAAAAGAACTCACCAAATCCAGAACTTTTGTGCATGGTGCAGAACCTGGATGACAGATCATCCCGATACAAATATGGCCAACCACCAACTGAAGTTGACTATGGAGCCACTGAGGAAGAAAAGAGTGGTGAACCGGCCATGGGCCGGGTGCCTCCTCCAGTGGCACCCAAACCTAGGGTTGTCCATGAGGCTCCACAGATTCTTCATGCAGGGGGCAAAGGGGCAGACATGTTTGCCCGCAGACAGTGTCGCATGGGTAAGTATGTAGTAGATACCCCACAAGAGGCCCATTACCAGCAGGAGATGGCAACACAATACAATACAAATACATCCCAAATGGACCCTTCTCAGTTTAAATACTCCCCAAATGTTCGTGCACCACCTCCCATTGGGTACAACCCACTCCTTGGTCCCTGTATCCCCAGAGGACCTCAGAAGGATCTAAGTAAACCAGAGGGCATTAGCAGAGGAGGTTCCCAAAGAGAGGGAATCAAAGCTCTGGATTTCATGAAAAGGCAGCCCTATCAGCTCAACCCTGCCATGTTCAGCTATAGTGGCAGTGTTGCAAACTTGTCAGCCATGCCCTCCTACCAAGCCCAGAGGCAGCAGCAGGCCTACCCAACAACAATGGTCGGCACTTCATTAGCCTCACCAAAGCAGATCCCTTTAAAAACAGCCCGTGTCTATGAAATTAAAAGATTTTCTACACCCACACCTATGTCAGCACCAACTCTGGCTACCAAAGTCATAGCCCCTCGCTCAGCTACCACACTTGGAGAACGTTTGAATCACTCTGACATGACCTCCCCACCTACTATTCGTCCCATTCAAAACCCAGTTCCTTTCCTGACACCAGCTCCAGTCGCTGCCCCCACCCTGGCTTCACCTCCATCCTATCAAGCTGGCCTTCCCAACCTCCCAAAATTCTCTTCCCCTGGTATTCCAAATCCTGTTCCACCTTCAGTACCAACACCCTACACTCCAGTTGCCTACACCAGTGGTCTCCAGGCAGCCAAGCAGTTTCAGAGTGCTCCTGAGCTCAGTATTATGGCTTCTTTACCAGCACTAAAGGCCAATGCAATCCAGGCACCTAAACCACATTTTATTGCTAGTAGGGCAGGCATTCAGCCCCGTGTCTGGAGGCCAGGGGCAATGTGAGAGGAAAAAAACCCATCACTACTATCCTTGGACTTTGTCTAGAGAAGTGAGAAGTCACTCAACAAGCCAAGTAGAAAAATCAATGATATCATAATCCCAAGACACAATATTTAAAAAAATTAATTGGAAAAAAATGTAAATTAATACTGCAGGATTTCTGTGAGACAATCATGACGACGTCACAGAAAACATGTGTAATTGAAACTACGCAATCACTTTTAAAGCTAAGGGAATATAAAATTAAAACCCAGAAAGTTTAAAATATTTTTCATGTGATATATTTTTTAGCAGAAAAACTTTAATTAAATAGAATCTTGAAGGATCTGCAGGATGTTTAAAGTGTATAGATGCCTTCTCAATTAGAGGATAAATCACTAAAGTATGCTGCTGTATGAGAATGAGTGAAGTCATGATTTTTTTTTTTTTTTGACAACTATTGTTTGATCATATATGCACAACATGTTTGTTTCACCAACTGGACTGATGGAAACATGATGACATCATCTTTGACAAGTGCATATGGTTGATTATGTATTGAATATGTACTTGAATGTATTTCTCTTTGCGAGGTGTCCATCAGGTTGTGCCAAATAACTCTGCTCACTATAGCCTGAAGGGAAATGCTATCTTTTTTAGCTTGGGTCACATTCACCGAGTGCCCGTGCTGTCACTGAACGTACACTTGTCACTGGATATCACAGCGTCCAGAGGCCATTTAGGCAGAGCAGAGCTTCTTTAATGTCAGCGTGATCTTTGCAGAAACACATGTATATTCTTTAACTTTTATTAAACAAATGACACAGATGAAAGGATGTGTATTTTATTTTGTTTTTGTTTAATGTTAACTCAGTATAAGAGACGCAGAGGGAAGTTGATGAAGCGAGTGGCACCGAACATTGTAAAAACAAATAGAACTGGTTAATGGAATGATGTTGGCTGTGGTGGTGGGTTTTTAGCATGATGAAAAGAATGGAAAATTGGGTTTTACTTTCCACGTTTTATATGACAACCCAATTTGGAAATGAAAAGGCCAGGATTAATATGATTTTTTAAGTTGGTGTAAAATAGTTTTGATTCCCACAGCCAGTAGATGATACAGAACGATGCTGAAGAAAAGCACAGAACCTGAACTTTACTGGAAAAGACAGATGAGAGAATAACACTGATGTTTATCCATGTTTCTCCAATAATGTTGGACAAATTAAAGGGTCAACATGTGTATTTAAAAGGCTATGTTGTCTGAAAACACAGTGTTTATGCCAACAGTTAGAAAATGTGGCATATGTTGTTTTAAGTTGTGGATCTTTTTGTACTATTTTCAAACATAACTTGTCTTACAGCTTTTATGTGTTTATATTACAGCTATAAAAATTGTAGTTCATGGACAGGGAATGGAAAGGTGTAAAATATAATGAGTATGGTATTTCTAATTGTAGTTGCATCAAACCAAATGTGCAACATTGTTAGTTATAGGTGCTGAGTGGCTGTTTATATAAAGACTGATGGTTACATTTTTAGCAAAGTAAATTTAGTAGCAAGTTGTCTGGATTTACACTGCCACCTGTTGTTGACTGTGTGATACTGCAATTTGTTTAAATGTACAGTGCATGCATGTATTAAAAGATAATAATAATAAACAAATACATTGATAAAATGAGCACTGGCTCGAGGTGCCTGAATGAAAATTTACATTTAACAAGATTTCAACACATCTAAATGTTACAGATCCAAAGCGAACCATCTTCCATTTCTATTTTCTCAGTTTGCACAAAGATTTGCTTTGTAAAACAAGTCTAACTGACAGGTTATCCTGTCAATGTAAATCTACACATATTTATAGGCTAATAAAAGGCCAAAAGTTGCAGCGAAAGACAACTAGACACGTGACATTTTTAATCTACTTGGCCGTTGTCACAGGTCTTCCATACATTTATGGTAATTAAAGTAAGTACATCTGTACCTCAGCCTTATCAGTCCATGCCAACATGCCTACAATCACGTCATGATTCAATAAATTTAAAATTGACATTGACTTCATGGACGAAGGTGGGGTTACGCAACCATTAACTCACACATATGGTCACATTAGAATCAACAGTTGACTTTATGCTAAAAGTCTTGGACTGTGATAGAAAACCAGAATCACCTGATGAAATCTGTGTTTCCCCACACACATGCAGGAAGTACATGCAAATTCCACACGGGATCAAACCAGCAAACCTCTGATCTTTTTGCAGTAAATAAACCACATCTTTGACCTAATGGCTCATTGTGCACTGAACTTCTTTATAAAAATTAATTTAACAAACATTAAGAAATCGGTGCCTACATCACACCACAGAAATGTCCTGAAAATGTTAGCTCTGAGCTACACTATCAGGTCAGCCTTCAATTGGAATTTTGTTAAAGTAATAACACAACAACAGGTGAATTAATTTCTCAGGCAGATAAGCAATACAAATGGAGCTGATTCAAAATCAATAAAACAAGATATGGCGTTGAGATGAGGAAAACGTAGAGAATACAACTTAAATTAGAGTTAAAAACGTATTTAAACACAAGCCGTATTTTTAACGAGTTAAAAACGTATTTAAACACAAGCCTGCAAATAAGAACTTCTCGTTATTGCCACTAGATGGAGACAAGTACAAAGAGATATTTAAAAGGGGCTGTAACCAAAGTGCAAAATGTAATGGTTTTTTTTAACAGTTTAAAGCCTAGAAAATTGACCTGATTTAAGTCAAACTACAAAACCAGGTTTTTGTTAAATTCCCCTGAGTTTCATAAAAAAGAGAAAACACAAAAGAAGTATTCTAGAGTCTGATAATGATGCATATAGATTTTACATGTAACAATCGACCCTGAGCCTGACTTTGGACAAACCCATGTGAGATCTGGTCATGCATGCATCATATAGACTACATGTGCCTGTTCTCAGGCCTCAGTTAGTCGGTTTGTTCCCAGCCTCCACTCTCTCAGGGTTCCTATCTTTAGAACTGTTAATATCCAAACAGAAGACTATTTAAAGAGAAAACGACACCCCCCCAAGCTTGGAACTGTAATTAACATTTAGTTCCAAATTTAACTGCTTTAAAAAATAGAAAAATAAAGCAGGAATCTCAGCTTATGGAAAGTTTCTATTCAGATATTAATTAAAACCACTGCACTTTATTAGATGTAATAGTGTAAATGTTGTAATGCTTGTTTTCTACTGTAGAAAAATATAATAATTCAGTGTAATAATCCAATTTTTTCTGCTGGCTTTAGAACCCAAACAACATATTTGAAGCCTAACCCTGACACTTGGAAACAGATTCAAATCTTTTTGCCAATCACAAATGTACTTCATATCAGTACTTCATATTTGAAGCCTAACCCTGACACTTAATTACACTTGATTAAAATCTTTTTGTTAATCACAAATGTACTTCATATCAGTACTGTGCAACTATAAGGTGTATATTTGTATAGTTCTGAGGTTTTTGTATTTTTAGAGAACTGACACTTACACTTGATTACACTAGAATAGAACAGGAAAGAACATGGATAAGAATAGCATGGGACTAAGAACAGAGTTACATAATAAGTAAGAATAGAACCAACTAGAACTGACTAAGATAGATTTAGAAAAATTCCAAGGTGCACCACCAATCAAAAATGACAGCAAAAGTATGTGAAATGAAATATAATGATCTTGTTTGAATTAACTCACAACTTGTTTTCTCTCTGTAAAACTGGGGCCTGTTTAGCTGAACACAAGGCTGACGCACAGGTAGTACTTGAAGGGAGAAACATACTGAAGATCTTCTTGAACACGCTTTTTAGATTTAATAGTTGCTGCCGCCTAGTGGAGCTGTATTTAATTGTTCTGCTAATCAAAGGCACACTGTAAGCAAACAAAGAAATTATTTGCATTAGTAAATATAATAGTTTTTACACCCATTATGTGAAATGGTAGAATTTTCCACAGTACACCAGGTGATCTCTTAGAACCCAGTGGTTTGGAATAACTGAACTAAGCCATGTAGTTTGATCATTTTCAAATAATAATTAACTTTAAGTGATGACAATAAAAATGTCTCTCTGCTAATGTTTGCACAGGCCATGAAAGAGCTGCGTTCTGACAGATCTGTCTGCATGTCTCCATCCTATGCTATGATGCCAACCTGAAAACGTGACAATGTCAGGTTGGGGAGATGCCCTGAGGAATGACTCTCACCCTTACCTCACCCAAACAACCTGACATGCCCCAGATATATACACATACTTAAACTTAAACTTGCACATACGCCACTCTTTTCAATCTGCCTGTGTGCGTGTGTGTGTGTTTTCCAAACACACCCCTGAGTCCTCTGGGGTTATCTCAGAGCCTAGTTCTCCTCTTCCCTCCTTCTCGGCGACTAAATATAGGCTCCTGGACCATCTGCGAGAATGATTTTGTTCCCTTAATATCACCATCAGCACTTTCAGCTGTCCAACAGAGACAACCCCCCCAACCCCATTTCATACTCCTCTAAACTCAACTTACGCCTCCTCCTTCTCCCATCTTGACACCATCAACCCCCCCCGCCGCCCCCCCACCCCCCCGAGCCCCTGGAAGAACAGCTCTCTGGCAGC